GACAGTTTACCATTATTTGTCTTTAAAAAAATATTAAGGACTATTAATGGTTTATAACAACAAAAGAACATGCATGACTAGCTACGGTGTTGCAACGTTCTAGTTAATGACCCGTCATAAGCAGTTGGTCGCTGCGTAGTAATTGGAAAATTGTTATCAAAAATATTAAAGAATTTTTGCCACCTAATTAAAGCATTTACCTATAAATTTTCATTTATGCTTTTTGTTTAAAAATATTGATAAAGTTATTATATAGAAGGGTTTTCATACCAGAACTATTTATTACCAACGTACGTATGCCTAAACCTGATTACCGCGGCAGTATGACGTCACGGAGTAGTGATTTTGAAAAAATAACAAACAAAAATCAAGAATTTTTCAGAGAATTATTATCTTTACAAATCGCAGATATGAAATAAAAGTTCATATTGTAAATGTCTGTGATGAGTGATGAGTCAGCTTAGAAAAAATCAAGGTACTATTTTTTGACCTGATTACCGCGGCAGTAAGATTTGACGGACGGTTATTAACATTGGGTCGGCATAGCCTCCCCAAAAACGACTTATAGACGATTAAAACCATGACTACTTCGAGTGTATAACTAGGACAACGAATACTTTGATACGCTATCGAGACTACGATTTTTACAGTGTTTAGTATGTCTATGAATATGACTACTTCAATTAAAACTTTTTATCAACTCCGATAATAACGATGACCAAAAGACCAAAATACTGATATTGGTTATTGTGTGATCATCACTGACATCCTTCTGCAGGCATAAACAGTTCCTTTTAAATTGATTGTTAAATTTTGTAATAACGAACTTGTGATGGTCACAATCAGTTTACATTTTTGCTATTTTTCCTTTCAATATGAATGTGAATATAACTCATGTTGGCCAATGAAATTTCGGTACATTTCCATCGGCATTTACCTGACAAGTTCAGTTTTGATTATAGGATTAGTGGAGCAGTCTTTGTAAATTTAAGGCAATCTTATATTTTATCTTAAACATTTTCCAATATCAGATACATGTATTGGTCAATCACCATTATAATAACAGTCATTATAATGAAATATATAGGCATTTAACTTGACAATAAAAACATGAGAATAACGTCACTACAAGCAACAAAAAGTGGTGTAAATATTGTTTAGCGTAAAAAAAACGTTATTTAAAATTTCAATGAAGAAGTAGTTGTCGTAAGAATATAACATAATTCAAAAGAGGTTAATTTTAAAAAGCGTTCAACTCTGCCAAAAAATGTTTTTATACTGAAGTTGATTTAATATTTCTTTCTGAAAAATAATTTATATCTCTCCCCAAAACTAAATTCCATTTATATTCGTAAAATATCAAACAAATTTTCACGGTTAAAATTAACCTGTATACAATGTATTCAGGAAGTAACCGATACCAAAGTTGAGAAGGATATTTATATTTATTATGATTGCCGAACTAAAGATTTTAAACCATGTTCGACAAAAACAGGGAACATGTCAAGCAATATTTAAATTTATTCATTCAACAATAAAGTCAACTATTGTTAACGATTGAATGGACCAGAACAGGGTTTGCTAATTATATAAGTCAATGGACACAGACATTATTTTATTGTTGTCTATATTGTTAAATAAACACAAAATAGATAGTATATTTACCTCGCTTGACATGTTCCCTCTCTTAGATTTACTATGTATACATCATGTCATTGACGAACTTTGATAAAACAAAAATATACACTTCCTTCTCCATTAAAAGGACAAAAGAAAATAATAGGTATCAATCTTATTAAGATGCTACAATCGCAGTTATTTACACACTGAATACAGAGTAAAATCCTGAATTTAATACATAATAATTTTATGATTATGCAAATTTACCATTGTATATTAATTCCATATATACTATTTCATCAATTGTTAATACCAAAATAGGAATCATTTAAGATTCAATTATGAACAAAATCAGATATCTACAAATCAGACTCATTTTTTAGGAACACAACTATTCGTTTTTTTTTCTAGTCTAATACATATTCTTTTGCATTAGATATTTTGAAATGCAAGGGAAGTAAGTACGAATAAAATGCATTCGAAATTTGTAAGAGTAGTGATCTTGTTTCTTTGCTATATTGACAAATTTATTGTTGACTAATGCCAATATTAATTACTTGTGTATATTCCAAAATGTGATAATGGGCAATGATTGTAAATTGTGTATTGTGATATTTATAAAAGAATAAAACTTCTTGTTCTTCACGATTAACACCCAAACGTGCAAAATCACTCTGTACATTTCGTACTCTAAACTGTTTATAAACTGCTACGAGAGGTGCCCAACTTATTTTTGAACAAAAACAAAACTTGAAGCAATTCTTTAGAAATACTCATTATATTGTAGTAAATGTTCAATATGAGACCCATGACAGTTGTAGATCATTCTACAACGCTTTGGGCACGATTTTAAAGTCTTATTTATAATTTCTTGATCTAGTTTGCGCCACTCGTCCTTTAGTGCCCTTTTGAGACCGACAAGCGTAATTTTTGCCGCTTCTGCAGCCGACGTTTTAGAACCCCCAAGATACCAAAGTCCATTGGTGCAGCATCAGGTGATCTTGGCATTTACTCTCCTCGGGGGTAATAAAGTTAATTTGACGGTCTTTCAGAAATGACAGCGTTCTTTTAGATGTGTGGCTAGATGTACTGTCCTGGTGGGATGTCATTGATTTTGCCCCCTCAGGAAAAAGTCTTGGAAGATCTTTCTCCAAAACTGGCTTGAGCACTTTGTTGATATAGTACTCAGAGTTCACCTTTGTACTTTTATCGATGATCCGAATCTCCGTTTTCCCTCTAGAAGACACACCAGCCCATGTCATGAAACCGCTAGCAAAAGCATCGCGTTTAACAAACTTCAATTTCTCACCAAGGTTATCCCCTTTTCTAATATAACATACATTTCTTCGCCCATAACTTCCGCCTAAGCAAAACATAGCTTCATCCGAAGTGACAAAGTTTTTCCATTGGTTGCATTTTAATTTCAGATAAAGGTTCCCAGATCTGGCCCTGCGCTTTTTAATTTGAGCTATGTTTAAATGATGAACTTTGCACTTCTTTCGTAATTTTGCGTTTAGAATTTTGTTGATAATGTTATAGATAGTTCCCTTTGACACACCCAATCTTGAACCCATTTCTCTTTGAGTAGGCGGATTCACTTTGGCGATGAAACGGCCAACCTTCCTAATGACGTCAGGTGTAGCCGCCGTGTGCCGTTTTGTAAATGTCCCCCCTGTAACATTCGGAGAAGTGACACTGCGTTGTAACCCTATTTGGTAGCTAATATTCCTGATGGAGCCCAACGAAATGCTATTACCAATAGATTTAAGCTCATTTTGAATACTTCTGTAGCTGCGGTTAGTCTTCAAAAGCCCTTAAACTATACCCTCAACTTTGTCGCTAATTTAAGAACGTACCATTTTCTCAATCGAGCTAAAGTACAGATAAATGAATACATAGGTTGTAACAAAACCGATTATACACAACAGCTACGAGTAAATCGTGCATGTGTCTTACTAAGCACGGATTTCTTTTGTTCAAAAAATAAGTTGGGCACCTCTCGTAATAAAGAAAATCGAGTAAAATAGAATATTAAAATATTAAAATATTCTTGCATGCATAATGATTAAACTTTCGTTTATATTATAAACATGCTTTCATTCAAATTATTCAGACTCGTTTATTTGTAATATTAAATAATAACGCGACAATAATAGAACAAAAAAGCCCTGATAACCAAACAAAACGTAAGCAGTGTCATCCTTAAACACATATAATGCATAATAAATATATATCATATATTAAAGTGTTAATTCAGAGGTGTAATTTAATAATTGATTTGTTCGAATCCGGCCAATTGTGTCCGTATGTATGTCAGATTAGAGCTTTCAAAAGAAAATTATCAATTTATTTGTATGATTCTTACTGTTGACAATAAACATAAACATACCTACTTGTTAAATCTTTACTTCAGTTTTTTCACGAGCTAAATTGTTGGTTTTGAAAGGTAAATTGTTGAGGAGTTTAAGTTTGATGTTGGTCGCAAGCTTCATATATATATTTATAATGTGACAAATGGTGAAATAGTAAAGTAAACGATGATATATTATATATTGAATCAGTAAACACATATATAAAACCAGAAGTTAGAAATGAAGCATATAATTATAGTAGTTAAAATAATATATTTTAAGTGATATCATGTAGTGATGAATATAATAAAAACACTGTCACCGAAACTACGCTTAGTCGGCCGCGTCATTCTAACATGGCATTCTTAGGGCAATATTAACCGGTATTTTCACAAAACTCGCACTTGTACTATGAACCCCAATGCTTTTATAAAAACCTCGATGCATGTTTAAGACAAAAATGCAAATTTCAGCTGCCTGTCACACCGGCGTCCTGCTTTGAGCGTTTCCAGTACTTTTCGGAGTTTGTACTGCGTTTTCACGACGTTCATAATCCTTTCTATGGCTTTTAATTGGCGTTAAGATGCTACCTTAAGGGGCTTTTCTGCATTCACAGAGTGGCTACTACAAATCTATGGTATTATGGCGTACATGCGGCGTTCTCACAGTAACTGTTAGGACTTCCTAGAAACGCAATAGTTGTATCAAGAAATATTTGTTTTGACTGCAAACACACTAGGGTCGTCATAAAGCCCCCAATTGCATGCACATTTATGTGCAATTTACGGCGACTGTGCAGAAACTACAGAACGTTCAAAGTGCTGCTTAATAAATACTCAAGTGAAACTAAATTGAAATTAAATTAGGGGAACTATTCTTTTTGCTCATTTATACTTACTGACACTTAATCAACATTAAATGGGCGAAGTCCACCTATTTGATAATGCAAGAAGGTTTTACGTCTTACTCGGTTTATGATGGTTAACTTGTATATCTAAATAAATGTACCACAAGTAGGTTTAATCTTCCGGGTTAATTTGCGATATGTATATAGTTGATTTGTAAATATTAACACACTTATTATCTACGGTTTTAAAGAAAGCATAACTTGATTGCAATGATTATTACTTTTGTTTTGGCTTACTTGGAATTAGCGTATGCAGGTACTGAAATTATAATTTAAGTGATAATTGATTTAGAAAATACGCATGTGTTTTGTTATGTATCCCTTTTTAAAAATAACTTAAATGTTTTATCTTAACACAGAAATTTCTAAATGTGATGAATTAAAATAGGGTTATACACACTGTTTTCAAAATTTCAAACATTTAGAAAACCAAACGTTTATTTGTTATCAGACCTTTGTAATCTATACTATGAAATAGAAACATCCCAGATGACTGATGAAGTATTAAATGTTGGTTCCTTTTCATAGTCGCATATTATACACGTATGTCACAAACATATACAACATATTATAATGCATAAAAACATGCATAGCCATCCGTGTAATGATTACAAGAGACTATTCAGTTATATATATAAAATGAACATCTCAAAAGTCCGTAATTTACTAAAGTCGGTTGTTTATACCAACTTCAGATTAGAATTATCTCTCTTTGTACGCACAATTCAACGGCACGTTTTAAAGTAAATAAAAGGCATAATAACTAACAGTTTATAAACAGTTTAAATCAATATTATACCGATCGTAGTTCATATAATGATAAACATGTATATAAAGATTTATTTTCTGCAGGCAACATTTCGATAATTAAACATTACCCCATTTATTAACAAATTAAAACAGATATAAAACAGTTCACAAACTTAGTATTTCCAGTTTCATTAAAAAATGGTTTAGCATTGTCAATAGCATATAAACATTTACTTATTACTTGACAAAGTTTTTATATGCGTACGTTTCAGTTCGCGTGGTTAAGTTCGGTTTATCAGATGGCAATGTACCAGAGAAAGGCAAAGACATATCAATGTTATGTGAGGTTGAGATTTCAGTAGATGATGGAATTCAGGCATTAAACATATTGAAAGAAGACACAAAAATTGCCGACTGTTTTTTTAATGCAGGAAATATACCATGTAGTAAGGCACATGGTGTTTCAACAAGATACACATTTACAAACAATCAACCATCTGTGAATATCTCAATAACAAATTTACAAATATCAGATGGTGGAAACTGGTACTGTGGTTTTCAAACGACAAGCCATACACTGACTTTGATGATCTATTGTAAGTACTAATTATTATAACTTACAGCATGAATGAACCTTTTGGAAAAAGGTTTCGTTCATATGTGAAATATAAGCAATATCAGCATTATTTAAAGCTAGTAATCACAATTCGTGGTCTCGGAGCATAAAAATAACCAAAAGAAGACCTTCAAATATTTCGTTATCCTAAACATTTGGAGATCATTATACTGGCCAACCTAGTATGCACTTACACTTTCATAACGCATCATTACTGTCTTTTTACAGATATTTTGCAAATATATATTGCGTCATCAACGGCAAGTCAATTATTATTTTAGGTTGTAATTTCTACAATTCTAAATCTATTTGAGTTAAAAAAAAAAACGGTGAATAAATATGTTTAACAATTTTGGGTGATAAACGTTTGATTGTTTTAATTGTTTGATAAGCATTCTTCTAAGATTATTAAAAGAAACGTCAGAGTTAAATGAACAGAAGATACATAAAACTTATTCAAAGTAACTTAACTAGAATATAGTATTATGCTTGTAAAAGTGGGCTATTGTTAACGTCGCACATTTATTAGAATGAGTCAGATATGAAATAGATAAAACAGTAATAATCAATCAAAAAGTAATGTAGAGATCAAAATCGAACAAACTTCTACAGTTAGGGCTAATTAAATCATGAAATATTACAACAGTTTTTTCTGTTATATAAATTTTAAAATGCGGTAATTTAGCAGCTCCACATAATAAACATAACGTTTTAAGATGAACTGAAGCGATATCATATTTCTTAGCCTTTTATCATTCAGTAATGTATGTATGTATGCTTTGTCTTATCATCGGATTGTCATTAAAATGTTAATTGTTTTCGATAAACATAAAATATGCTGTTTTTGTTGTTTAAGCGTCTCCGGATAGTGTTGTATTGAGTGGATCACATAGACCCGAGGATCTATCTATAAAAGGAGTAGATTTTACCTGCCAAACCTCCAACTGTATTTATCCAGCGCCGTTAAACTACCAGTGGTTTTACAAAAGTGTGCGTATATCATATACATTTGACAAGATAAATTTATTCAGCAAGTAGAATACAATATTCGCAATAGTTTTATTTAAACAATTAAATCAGCGATATGTTTGTTATGCGATTTTTATCGCGGCGTAAAATCTTAAATTTTATAGAATTTAAACAGTACAGTTTGTGAAATATTTCAGAAAAAGAGATATTGAAAGTTCTGCTTACGGAATTCATCGCATGATTCAGAACATTTTCTATGTTCTCATTAACACATTATACTTAGCTCACTTTCAATGTGGATTTGAAACTTTATTAATATATAACAGTACAGTTTTGTCATTGATGAATATAGGAAAAAACTCAACTAAGAAATAACAAAAGAGTTTTTTTTGCACCTTGTATATTTATATCAGTGTAGTTTTTTCCAAGGTTAACATTTGAATCGAAATAGTGAAAAGCACTAGACATAATATTTCCGTTGCTGATTTCTGCTAAAAAATGAAATTGCTATAAAACATTTAAAATATATGTTATAATAAATGAAAATCGTTAAACTATGTGGGTTCAACACTGGCTGGGGCGACATCTAAGAATGTTTCTGGACTAACGACCTGGGCATCTTGATAACAAAGAAAAACCACGATGTCGCATCAACAAGTGTTTATATTCTCGCAACTCACTTGTTTCATATACTATAACTATTACTTTATAAAACATTGAGAGTTATAGATATCCAATGGTCTACTGTTATGCTGCGGTACAAATAGCAGGAAAGTGTCACTCCGTAAATATTTACGGCATTTTTATATATTATAAAGCCCGTAGGAAGCAACTTCAAGACAAACGTATTTCTATAAAAGTCAACATATCCTTTCCACTTAGCATCGTTTAGAATGATAGTACCTCAATTTCAGGGTGATACATGGATATTGTATCAAAATTCTTCTCCTACACATTCAGACACAACATGTAGTGGCAATGAAAAGGTGTATCATTCCACGCTAAGTTTTGCAAGAAACACCGTGTGGCCATTACATCCAGTTAATGCAGATATCACAGTAAAGTTTCAGTGTAGACTGGATTTTCCAACCCTGACGTCATCATTACAATCTACTGATTCCAATAATGTGCGATATGCAGGTAATTAATACAAATTTAATTGACAAAATGAGTTTAAAGTGTTTCAATGGTACAGTATATCATTTTATACGTTTATGTGAATATTCATCAAAGGTGAATTTTCAAAACAGAAAAGTAATAAATATAATACAGTTCTTAAGTAGTAACCGCATTAACATATCGAGTAAGAGATTAAACCCTTTATATTTTGTATTTTCAAAAGGAACCCTTTATATGTCTGTAATTTTGGCAACGAATGCCCTCCATACTTAATCTGACTTTCTAACAGCAGGACTTTATCTATTTTAATCATACATATTCATGTCCGATTTATATATTTATAATTTTATCTCTTGTCAGAAACATAAATTATGTCAGAATGTCGTGCAAAAGAGCTTCATATTTCTCTGCATATGTTTTAAGAACGCAAATTAGATATGGTAATTTTCTAAAACACAAGTTTTCACATTTTGAAAAAGATAATAATTAAGTCTTTATTAAAAACCTTTGACTATAAATTCCTTACATTGCCTTATGTTAATCTTTTTCTTTTTTATATTTTGTTTTAATTTCGATTCCCATTTAAACTATAGACCTTTTTACAATACGATTTTTCCATAGTAACGGATGTTTTATTTCGCATTCTGCGTAGGGCAGAAAGCAATAAAGAAAGAATATATCATATCAGTACTCAACAAATTCATAAATAATCTAATGTAATCTGAAAGATTTACCTTAAGTTTAGAATAGTAAATATTGATAAATAACGGTAAAGGTGTACGAAGCATTCTTAGTGGCATTATTAAAACACCGGACTCCTTAATTAAAGGTCGTGAATATTATTTGTGTTGGCAATATTCTCTTTCCATTCTTATACTTGCATAAATTAAAGTTATGTCATCTGGTAGACAGTAATTTCTGGATGACTTAAAGAGGTAAGTAAGTAAAACGTGAATTGCTAATTAGAACAGATAAAATCAAAGCACAGAAGGCGCTGAATTTGTTTGGGTCTCAGAATGTAAGAAAGGTGCAGGTTGTGAGATTATATGTATAGTGCCACCAATGCTTTCCAGCGTTTTAATTGTAGTAAATTGGCTATAAGACTAATTGCAACACTGATATTCAATCCAATGTTTATTTGACTTAAACAATTTGAAAAAAAAGAGTTACCATTACTGGAATTTGAACTCCAGACCTCTCGCTTCCTAAGCGAGCCCGAAAATCCTTCAGCCACGGTGAATTTATATGTGAACGGCCTGAAGAAAACCATATTATTCTAAATTAGGGCTTGTAACGACTTTAACTGTTGTTTAACACAGATGTAAATAATCCTGGAGCTTACTATAAGCATGTATATTTATAAAGAATCAAAGGGCTGCAAGTTCTGTGGTATTTTCTGATCTTTGCAACCTAAATCGTACTGTATATCTGTATGCATTTTCCCGTATAAGTTTATTTTTATGTATTATAATTCATTTTGCAAGGCACCAGAGTTTGATACATACGGAATTCTGCATAACTAGAGTTGCATCAAAAAATCATTTATGTTCATTTTTTTACGACAGCCACACTTTATTCTTGCATATCATGGCTACTTCCTTAACAAAGACACTTAAAAAAGAATTTAACAACAAAAAAAAAGTTTCCTCGACTGGGATTTGAACTCGAGACCTCTCACTCACTAAGCGAGCGCGTTACCCCTGTACCACGGAGAAGTTATACAAACAATGTCTGAATAACATCAAGTCATTCTAAATTTAGAACTTCCATTGCATTTCGGGTTTGTAATCCTTATTAATTTCGAGGTATTTTGTTCAGGATAAACCTGTTGTTTAAAATTGAAGTAAATATTTTAGCGAAAATCTTCTCGCCCAAACAGTCCGACATGTAGAATCTATATATTCCACTACTCGGTTTGTGTAGTATTCGGTAATCGACATCGCTAAAAATAGTATTTTCATTGATAAAATCATATTCATCCGCGTAATTTGTGACTGTGCATTTATTGACAATTCTATAAACCAACGCTATTTATAAACTTTGAATGCGTTGTAATTTGTTGGATACTTGTTACAAAATAAAAATATTTCTTTCTTTTAAATCGCTAGTTTTAAGCTGTTTTGAGCACTATATACTTGTTGTTAGGTTTGTCGTAAACTTCTGTGTCAGAGATTGAATGTCCGCTTTGTATTTACTTATTTTCGATCAGAAAATACAAAAAAGAATATTAGAAATCTTCGACCATTCGGGAATTACTTGGCTTGAAAATTAAGGCGCCTGTCTTTGACCATCTTTACGCAGTGATCTCCCCTGAATTTTTCGGCGTTAGTCTACATACAAAAGGGAAGTAACCGCTTCAAAAGGTGGACTACTTTCGGCATTTGCAATTAACAACATTAGACTGAAATTTCGCTACCATTATTTGTTTGGTCTGACGACCCAAACAAATAAAAATTAGGCAGGACTTATATTTCAATGATCAAAAAGCGCATGCAAGTCTTCTATTTAAAGTGTCATTTGACGACCCTTTCATAGAAGCAGCAGGGTGTTAATGATAAAATTTTATTTCCCCTGTATTACATAATATTACACAGTTGGTACTGGTCATGTGAATTGGCAAAGCGGTAAGTGTCAAACAAATTGACACATGACCTGTTGTTTATTCTGCTTAGTTTACAAAGTCATTCAACCGGTACGTTTGAATACCATAGCGAATCATTTAAAATTATAATCAACGTATTTTGAAACCAATCTCATCAAATTTCGGAATAAATTTTGTGAAGTGACAAATAGTATGACGTGCATTTATGATGTGCATTCTAAACCGGATAAAATGTGTGTTATTTCACTACTCAAGAGTTTGTAAAATTATTTGACTTATAAATTTTATGTTAAGCATAGTCAAATTTGATTATAGGATAAAGTTAGGTAAACTCTGTATTTATGGCAGCCTTGGTCACAAAGCTTTAAAGGCATCTTTGTGTAAAGTTTTTATATATATATCAATTTATACATTTTAACTTTAACCTACTCACAACTGAACTTTCTTCTACGTTTTTATTTAGTACTCTTTCAAATTAAAAGTTAAACGAAATGTGTTAAATCGCACAGTGACTAAACGGAAATTGTAAAGGATATCTTAGCACTAATTTTACATTTTTCACCATTTTCGAATATTTGTATCCTTCTTATTCGTTATCCACAATTTTAGTTATTTAACAGAATCAGCTTTCAACCTCAATCATTCTTGTTTTATTTTAAATTATTCAAACATCATGAATATATCAATCATTATGCATCGTCTTTCAGTACAAGTAACGTCAGTTACTCTCAATGATGGAAACAAAACTCTTTTAAGTTCTGAAACAATTGTAATGATAAATGGATCAAGTAAAACATTTACATGTGCAACTGGCACTAGTAGACCTGTGTCAACAATTGTCTGGTATGTTGGATCAACTTCTGTACAACGCAGCACAAGCACAGCATTTACATACACTGCAGGACTTGAGGACAATAACACAACTCTGCGTTGTAAAGCATTCAACATTCAGGATGAAGCAAATGCTGTATCATCCACTACTCCAAGTTTCCGGATTTTAGGTATATGCATTTAAGATTATTTTCTAATTCCTAAATAGCATTGTTAACGAATTCAATCCGTTTGAATTTATCATAAGAGTAGTAATGAGATTTTTTAATGATTTAAAATGTTGATACTGGTCCAATTTTGCTTTAACATCAAAACAAGTCGGATACTTTAAAGTTCATGAGTTTAAGACGTATTCTGAGGGAGTAGGGCATGCTTTATATTATGAAAATTCACTCACCATCTCTAGGTCATACAAATACACGTGTTTCGAACTGGGTCATGCATAAAATGGTCCAGAAATTAAAAAAATTTCATCGAGGTCTTTTATAAAATGATGAAACATTATTTATCATTTATCCTGAAACTTCTATGAACAATTTAATGTGATCAGTAGTCTTAATTATATGTCTAAAATTATATTGGAATCCGTCTTTTATTCAGAACGAACAATAGTTAAATCGTTCTTCATAGGACAGAATGAAAGCCAAACAAATGCTATATTTGACGAACATGAAGTTGATATTCAATTCACATGTGTCGTAAGTGGAATTCCTGCCTCAGAGGTTTATATAATTTTCAGAGACGAAATTATTGCAAAGCAGTCTAATACAAATAAATTAATTTACAACCTTCAAGATATTGGTTGCACTAAAAGTGGTATTTATGTCTGCAAGGGAATCGATGCTTTTGGTACTTCAACAAATAAGACATCTTCTGTATATATAGAATGTAAGATTATATTCAAATGTTTAAATAAGTGGTGAATGTTTTTTACAATACCTAGTACATATATATAAGATTACGGAAAATAATATTTTTTCGTTCCATTTCTCTAAAGAAATAAAAAAAATTATTTAAATTAAAGTACAAATAAATCTTCTAATTTTCTTATATGAGCATTGCATCTGTAAAAAAATGCGATACTTTTGTTAAAGTAAAAATCAATAAGATACTATATATTTCAGTCAACTTGTTTTAGAATAATATATTTTACTTTCAGTAATTAATGTCTGTCTTTCCAAATGTGCTTTTATTTATTTACTTAATGACAGGTTCTCCGCGACCATTACGACAGGTTTTTCACAATGTGACAAGCAGTCTTGGAGTACCAGTAAGGCTCTCATTCATAGCTATCGCCTATCCCGAACCTGGTCCTAAAGGATTTTTATGGTCAAAGGAAGACAGGCATAATTGGGTTTCTTTATTGAGTAACGAAGATTTTCAAATTTCATCATCTGGATTGGAGACAAATTTAACAATCTTGAATGTATCTCAGGAACATTACGGGAAATATCGTGTAACTACTGTGAACAGAATCGGTTCATATGACCAGATAATGTTTTTATCAGAGACATCAGAGACAGGTATTTCAAACTGTTGTCTTTTTCTATTGTGTGTTTGTGACCGCATACATAGTGAGCGTTCGACTAGAGTAAAATCGCTACGTCACTTAAGTCTTATTAATGTCAATTTTTGCGTTGTCTAGTCAAACAAATGTGACAATACTTGGGGAATATGTTTTTAGAACGTTATTTTTTAATGTTCAACAATTTCATAATTGTACACTTATCAGACGTACATTATATAATTACATGACATTTAACAATACAGTGTGGTCCACAAATTTTGTTTGTTTGCTTGTTTGTTTCATTGTACGCCTTTTTTCCCAACAGTAGTTCAGTCATATAGGCGGGTAGTTTCCTAACCATCGTTCCTGGAGAGTTACACCAGTACAAGACTACCTTCCTACGTGCTAAACTACCAAAGCATCTCCCGGGGATCGAGCCCACGCCAGAGAGGTTACTGGATTAGAAGTCATCGACTCTAACCCCTCGACCACGGAGGCGGTTATGGTCGACAAATAATTATATATATGATCAAATACAATAACGTTGATATAATTATTCATTCTCATGTTTAAAATCAGATCACAAACCTGACATCTGCAAAAGTTGTACAGAGACAAGAACGTTCACAGCGTCAATAATACTCGGGGTAGTATGTGTCGTTTTGGTTGGATATGCAACAGGTCTAACCATATTGTACAGACGAAATATATCTAAGAAAGGTAAACTTTTTTTTTTTGCAATGAAAGATAAAACAGAGAAGAGTTGTTACTTAAATATGCTTATTTTTTGTTCTTATGATAATGAATTAGTTAAGGTCCAGACAGTTCAACAAGTAATTATTAATATTTTAGGTGCAGCCGCTATCATACATGGATCTAACTCTAAAACGTGAGTCTTTCTTATTTTCGAACATTCTTATAATTTCTGCAAATCCTTACTATTTTCATTTACACTCTTTTTTATCGTAACTGTAATGTTGTTAACCTTGTAACATTAAATATTGATATTGATTATGATATGTATGACCCAGATGTACCCCTGTTTTTTGGCTTCACTTGACAATACGTGTAACACTTTTGGTCATCGTTTTATTGAATTTTGTACAGGTTTACGTATGCTTAACGGTTGAATTGATCACGATCATAACTGTACCTCCTACGTTTATTTCGAGAAAGGGGCGTCTGTTACTGACTTCTTACTCACTAACAATTGTAATTTTTCGGGAATAAGTAATTTATCAGTTCATTATAATGTATGGAGCGACCATTGCCCTATTTTTTTTATTTTGTAATAAATCACAAAATATTGAAATTAGCCAATGCAAGGAAAATTTGTGTAAATATGTTTGGTCAAATAATCTAAGGAAGGAATTAAGAGCAAAGTTAATAACTAAACTACCGAAATTTAATACGATGTAAAATAATGTAGATATATATAGTAAAGTATCTATTAATGCTTTAGTTTCTGATTTGACCTGTATGATACAAGATGTAGCTAACCATCTGTTTTGTAAAGCGTATTGGGTAAATAAAAGTGTTGATGTCTATCATACATTTAATGATAAAAATAAGGCTGGTTTGACCAAGAATGTGCGCAGGCAAAACATGCATATTTTAATGATTTATGCAACTTTAACATAGCGAAAAGTCGTGAATATAGGGGTGAACTTTGTCTTTTCAAACTTGCAAACGAGAAGTTCTGGCTATGAGAAGGTTGAATTCACGGTTAATCCTCTGTGTTACATGGCGTAGATAAATATTATTGATTGCATAATGTCTAAATTTAAAGAAATAATGATTTAACATTTTGTTGTGTTAATATTTTGATATATTTTGTGTTAACGGAATCATAAATTAAGCAATAAAAAGTATGCTTTGCTAACATTTGACTATGATATAATTAAGGAATGTGACTTATATTTAATATATTTATTGATTGTATTGTGTATGACGATGTATTTTGTACAAGTCTGAAATATAGTTTCTGTTCTGTTCTTTGTTCAAAGTTAAACTATATGTTTATCAAAATTTGGTTTGCTTCTGAGCTAATTAGCATCAATCAACACCTTTCGTCAGCAAAACAATTACAGTTTAATTCATCTTAATAAATCAATTTCAGTGGGAATGACAACACGAGGAATACTACCAATATTAGCGAAGTGGAACACTTTGAAAGTAATGCAGCAGAAATTGACGAGGAATCTTCTAAACAATATACAGAGCTTACACCATATTCAAACGAAGGGGCAGCGTATGAACAATTACAAACTTAAATTAGACTTAAAACATTTGCTTCGTTTTCTTTTTCAGACGCTGCGGTTTTATCTAAATTTGATGCTGTTTTCAAGATTAATTAAATATCCTTATTTATAGTGTACATAAAAGTCGTTATGACTTGTGTTTTTGCAGATATTGCTTTAAGCATTTGAAATTGATAACGTATATGTGTTCATTATTATTATTATGTAAAAAACTTAAATAATAAATCTTTCTTACTCTTTTAATTATTGTGGTTTTAAGCTGGTATTGTCTGGTAGTGAAGATGGTATATTAACGTATGTACAAGTTGCGTCTGTTACATTATTTACCATTACAATTTAGTGACATCATGCTAATTTTGTCACTGTTTATTTGAGATTAATTAATTGTACATTTCAAAAGATTGCCTACTCTAATGGCGATTGCATACATATTGATATTAAAAATGTTAAGGTAAAATATAGAAACTAGTTAAGATATAAAAGACTTCCCTACTCATTTAATGAAATGAATATAGCAAGTTATTTCGGAAGGATATGTATAGAGATTTTTGTGTGGGAAACAAAGATTACTGGTTACTAAGGTGACGTTTATTATAAAATTGAAAACAATTATGAAAAAATGAAAAGTTATTCTAGGTTTATCTGAACACATTCCACTTTCGCTTGGATGGGCATGTTGCTTACTACGGGACGGAGTTGAAATCTGCAAATTACAAACAATCTTTTTAAAATATTTAGGTAGAAAGATTCCAGACATTTTAACAATAACTAGAATTGTAATTGTGTACATATAGTTTAAAGATAACGTATGTTTTCCTCATGAGAAAAATATATTATAATTTTAAAATTTTCGTAACATTACATTACATTCAACAACAAATAGGGTAGTTACTCAAAATTAATAATTTGAAAAGTATATTTAGAGAAAAAAAGATGCGCTAAATGTGAGGTAAACAAATCACTTTTCTTTGCAAACAAAATCAAACTGCCTTGAAAATGTATACTGCAAGAAATCGTTAATGTCACTTTAGACAACTAGATACAAACAATGCTGACAAGGAAGAAAAATTTCATTATACACAAACAAAACACAAGAAAAAAAAACCACAAAGATATATGTATATGACTACACATAAAAGGAAGATATTGGACACAAACAAAAACAGGAAAACAACTTTCAAAACATACATAAATGCACATGTATCTCAACAGAAAATATTGGAAAAGCACAGATACATACTAGCGCAATAGATCATTGCTGTTTGAACATCCAGGAGAAACAAACGTAATAATAAAAAAACAAAAAACTTTAAGCAGAAATTCGAAAATTTAGACAACTGAAGACAAAATACATTTATCTGTTTAGATATATACATTATCCAAAGGGTATACGGAGATGTCATTATTTATCCTAATGGGCGAGAGCAATGAATCATATAACACTTAATGAGTGCGAACATTAGATGATTTTACTAAAGGTTGAGAGGGGGAGTCATTATTTTTCCTTATGGGCCGAGAGCAAAGCACTATAAAACACACAATGAGTGAGAGAACTATCGGGTTAAGAGAGATGTCATTTTTATCGTAACGAGTAAGAATAGTTAATCATGCAACACTTGTGAGACAACTATTATTTATCACACACCCGTGCCGATTTTGCGACTCCGAATAAAATGGTATTGCACGGCCGTGCATATATTTAGACGTGACGTCATTAGTGTTTATACAAACATAGTGTAAAGATGCGCTAAATGTTAGCGTTAAACTACAGGCCTATCAATGAATCAAAGCGCTGAAAGCACTGATGTAATCGCTGCGCATTATAAATGCATATGTGTCTTACTAAAAACGTTGCAATTGTAAAGAATAAAGGAATATGGGCCACTGAATTACAGATTATTAATCTGATAGAGACATTAACACTGGTTGTTGAATATTACATTGAAAGAGGGAAAGAAGTAAGAGTAAACTAAATGAGAACAACTTTATTACATTATCTAAGTGGTACAATAAAATATACATCCAAAATATGAATGCATGCAGTACATTCATGACTCTATAGATCCTTAACATGATGAGAGATTTATGTTATTATGAATATATATATACAGTAACAATACCTAGAATACTATATTGCTACATAAGCTTCAAATATAATGACAGACAGATTACCTAGCTAAAGCATTTCAGTTTTTCAAATGATGAAAAGTGAAACTTGGAACATGTTAATTTCATGAAATTTAAGAAGAAAATATAGGTATTTTTGTAAAATACTTTAATTCTAAAAATTTCTGAGATTAAAAAAATACAAAAAAAAGTACTTTTAATAGTTTGCGTATTATATTTTTAATTAGCCTGTAACAGTCAAAAATAAATTTTAAAATTCTGTTATTTACTTTTTTGCAAAGAAACATTACAAATGGAATGGGAGCATGAGGAAATGGCTTTAATAATGCAAAACAAGCAAAATGGGACAATAAGAGAAAAGGATGGTTGTAATATCTAATCTTTTTTACCTACTGTGACCTTATCATGCAAAAGACCAAATTAATTTAAAGCGTTCTTGCACACAGTAAATGAGAATTTTTGACGTTTTCAAACTGAGTAGTTTAATATGACATTATTATGTCTCCCCCACCTCGGGGGGAGACATATTGTTTTTGCCCTGTCCGTCCGTCAGTCCGTCCGTCCGTCCGTCCGTCAGTCCGTCCGTCCGTCCATTCTTCGTTTACGGACGATAACTAGAGTTCCTTTTGACCTACAGCTCTCAAACTTCATAGGATGAATGGTCTTATTGAGCAGATGATCCCTATTGTTTTTGGGGTCAGTAGTTCAAAGGTCAAGGTCACAGTGACCGTTGGTCAATTTCTCGTTTCCGGATGATAACTAGAGTTCCTTTTGACCTACAGCCCTCAAACTTCATAGGATGATTGGTCTTATAGAGCTGATGATCCCTATTGTTTTTGGGGTCAGTAGGTCAAAGGTCAAGGTCACACTGACCGTTGGTCAATTTCTCGTTTCCGGATGATAACTAGAGTTCCTTTAGACCTACAGACCTCAAACTTCATAGGATGATTGGTCTTATTTGAGCAGATGATCCCTATTGTTTTTGGGGTCAGTAGTTCAAAGGTCAAGGTCACAGTGACCGTTGGTCAATTTCTCGTTTCCGGATGATAACTAGAGTTCCTTTTGACTTACAGCCCTCAAACTTCATAGGAATTGGTCTTATAGAGCAGATGATCCCTATTGTTTTTGGGGTCAGTAGGTCAAAGGTCAAGGTCACAGTGACCGTTGGTCAATTTCTCATTTCCGGATGATAACTAGAGTTCCTTTTGACCTACAACCCTCAAACTTCATAGGATGATTGGTCTTATTAATCAAATGATCCCTATTGTTTTAATGGTCAGTAGGTCCAAGGTCAAGGTCACAGCGAAACTGTTGGTTAATTTTCTGCCTTTCCGGATGATAACTAGAGTTCCTTTAGACCTACAACCCTCAAACTTCATAGGATGATTGCGTCTTATTGAGCAGATGATCCCTCTCTGTTTATGGGGTCAGTAGGTCAAAGGTTAAGGTCACAGTGACCATTGGTCATTTTCTCATTTCCGGATGATAACTAGAGTTCTTATCAGTGAGGACATTTAACTATTATTGATATATCAGTGATATATCAGTTGTCTGGTTTTATATACTCTGTTCTTTTACCTCCATTTCCATTCCTGTTTCCATTCACAGTTATTCTCAGCAGTGGGGGAGACATGCGCTTTTTTACAAAAGCATCCTCTAGTTGAAATATGGATGACGGACAGACCAGGAATCTTTGACTGTCTGTAATAGCTGAGCTTTTGCTAATGTGAGCTAAAAAAATGAGAATAGTGATGTCAAGGATGATTCAATAATATCCATATTTAAGAAAACACAGCTTTAAAACCAATTGCAATATTGCAGAACCTTTTTACTCACAATAATAAAACATGTAATTATAACAGCATTAATAAGTACATCGCCTTATCTAATAGTCTGAATCTTACACAATTTAATGATGACAAACATTCTATTATAAAGCTTTCAATATTTCAGTTACTTCATACATAATCAGTGTTCTTTTCTAATTAAAGCATATATACAGAACTTGCTAACATGAAAAATAAATTTGGTCACAATAAGTTTATCTCATGTATCTCATGTATAAAATTGCAACTTGCTTGCAATTTAAGTAATTTTATTTTAAGATTCTTATGCTAGAAAGTATGGTGATTGCTCAATTTAAGTCATTTGTTAAAACATTTTCATAAATCGGAAACACACTCTATAAATGGCTTAGGTACTTCATATCAATTTGTGAAATTTCTTTTTATTAAGAATATTACTTACTGAAAAATGTTCACAAAATTGCAAATACAATGTAAATCTAAAAAACAATGCTACATAATTAAAAGGTATAATCACAAGTTATATAATGATTAAGACAATGGATTGAAATGATAGAAAAACAAGCAAATGTAAAATTGAACATAAAAAATTATATACATGTAACACTATTGACCCCATAAGAAACAGTTAAGTCAAACAAATGTAATAGTTATTATATGCATTTAAATTTGGGGTGTAGTTTCATGTTTTCTTCGGAAATTGAAGTCAAAATAGTTCTCAGAAATCAAATATTTTCTCTGACAAAGATAGAAATGTTATGAGGATGTAAAGCTCCCACAAACTTTCGGATATAACTCTAGTGCAATCACTGTTTGTTTTTTTACTTTGACTAGAATCAAAAATGATACCTTTGTTTACAGTTTGTGTCCACAATGCATAATAGCATATAAATAAATATTATCTTGTTACTTGTGCCTGGTTATATAAAAAAAGACAATTTCTAATAAGGAATGTACAAGTTTGTTTTGCGTATGTTAAGAACAACTTAAGCATGTAAATAAAAAAGTACTGGGAACATGGTATTTTAAAGGTATTATAAGTAGATAATAAATGAATGATTTCAAAATTTAAAAAAAAGGGTCAAAGACAGAAAAGGCCGGGTTGCATTTCTATACCAAATATCATGATGCTGTAATGTTTTGAAAAAAATTTACCACTGACCATTAATGTGGAAAATTTAACTAAGTCAGTTAACATGAAGTGGATGAGTGAAAGACTTGAAATCGAATCCCACAGTATGAGAGCATGTGTCAATGCTGTTTGTCAAATATCAAGAGCCTTTTGATAAGTAGTTGCTAAAAAACTG